TTATGAACATTTAGTCATAAAAGAGAGGTTCCTGCAAGAACACATAATGCAATATATTGATTTAAGTGTAGTGGATTTGAGTTGCTTCGGGAATTCAAGTGTGAGCGCTTTAGGACTACGAAAGGATGTCAAAGGTTCAAAGAAAAGAAATAATTTATTGAATAGTTAATTGCCAAAAAGTGGACTTCAGGCCAATAATTTTTGATTAATTGTCAGATTAATGGTATGTTGGTCACTTTAATTAATTCAATAAATCGGACCATACAGGGTTGATTGTAGAAGTAAAAAATAATAATAACATTTGGCTTAAAATTATTTAAAATGCCAAAACAAAAAAAAAAAGCATTGCATTTGAAAACCATAGCCTAAAAGGGTTTGGGCTTGGGTTGGATGCAAAAGCTGCCTAAAAATGTCAACAAGCCACAGGTCGAGGGAAAAAGAAGCCCAGCTGAAGCTAGCTTGCGGGTCAACTCATGTGAGGCCTAATGAAGTTAGGGCCATGAGACAAGCCCAACCTGCAGGGTTGGCTATGGTAGCAATAGGCTAGGGCTTTCTTAAGCCCAGCAAGCAAAAGCTTGCGGGTTATGGGCTCAGGACGTGGATCGAGGCTTCAGGCTTGTGGGGTTGGTTAACCCAGGGCGGAGCTTGGTTGGTTTTCAACACAGCAACAAGCCCAAATGGTTGTGCGCATGGTCCAATTGTCTGTACGACACTGTTTCCTCCACACGGCTAGGCTTCAGGCCATCGTGGTGATACCATGGTGGTGCTACGGTAGTGCAGCGGTGGTGCCGCAAAAATTCCATTTTTCCCTTCTTCTTTTTTTTCGAATCTCTAGGGGTTAAAAACCCTTAATTGCTTCTAAATTAATTTCGATACTTTGACTCACAAATTCCACATAGCATAATTGTGTATTGCATGAACAAGTATATACATTGACAAAGTATATGAACATATAGACAATATATATAATTGGAAGGAAAATATAAATATAGGAGGTTCATGCATCATGGGGAATGTTTTCATGCTTCAAGGTCGTTTCAAATATCTTCTTTTATTCTAAGTGTACTTGATTGGCAGAAAACAACAAAAGCCTTTGAATTTGTAGAAAATCCATCTCGGAAAGCCAGATTTGCATTTCTAATGCGTTGTATCACGTTCAACAAAGAAAAATTAAAATTGAATCAATAGCATGTAGATCAATTTAATAAAATAATAAATTAATCATAATAAAAAAATGATTAAAACGTAATACTCTCCTGATTGAAGATCAAACTCTCTTTAGCGCAGCATCAAGAGCGTATTGATAGTCTGATAACGTATTGTAGACATAATTTATTGAACAATTATGGAGGACAACATAATTTACTGAACAATTACAGAGGCCATAGAGAGAGGGTTGCGGCAATAGTAAAGAGAAAGAGAGATGTGTAATTGTGAGGTGTGTTCTATTCCATCCCATTGTGCCTTTATTTATAGTAATAGGGAAGGTTAATTCCTTACCCTTTAGGATTATAACTCTAATAGGATATTAACTACTAAAAGGAATATTCAAAGATATCCCTAGATACACTAGCATTTACACAATCACATTCTTAATCTAATAGGACTGCAACAGTTTGTTGTTGTTGTTCTTTTTTTTTTTTTTTCAAGAGATGTTTTTAAGAAATGTTTTGAGAAATGATGACATTTTTAATAGGATACCAAACAAGCTCTAAATTTATTTATTTTTTTTCATTTTTCACTTCTAAGTGTATAAAATTAATAAATATATCTAACAAACTCAAAATTAGCCCTAATTACCTCTAAAAATAGTTCTATATATGTATCTTTCTTTTTTCCTTTTATCTCTCTTTTTTTCTCTCAAGAAGGTTAGGTGCGTGTTCCCCTTTTTTCATTTTCTGATTTTCTCCGAGGGGAAGGTGATCCCTTAACTGTTGAGAAGTATTTATAGTGTGTGGGTTATACTTCATCATGAGAGATTGCTTTAAGGTGTGTATAAATACGTCATCTTTCAGACTATTGTCCCCGCATCTAGTGTGTAAAGAGTAATATGTGAAAGAGCCTTGTGAATATAATAGAACCTAGCAACTTGCTATTGTTGGTCTGCGTCTTGCGCTTACGAAGATCTACCCAACATCGAAAGAAGATTTACAAGAAACTCAAGGATTCTAGAAACTAATTAACACTACAGTTTATTAGTTTCCAGATCTGGTATTATAAAATTACAAGACATTAATGCAGGCCTTGCGTGAATAATATACGAAGAGGAGAGTGATCTGCAGTAATCAACCTCTATTTATACAAGTTGACATCCCTCTTCAATTTTTCAATGAAGAGTTGCTAGTCTACACAAATACAAACAGTGGATGCTGCAACGTAAACCAAACCATGGCTGCCATTCAATTTTATAAAACTGTTTCAGTTTTTGGATTCAAATTGTATGGCAACCGTATTGGAGACATAAATTATCCCACCGATTCACTTTTACTTTTCAATCACCATTTACTTCTCTCCTTTCTTCCCCAACACCAATTCAAGCATATTAATTTATATTATGAAATATCCTGCTACTTAGTACTACGGTCTATGATATTTTTCTTATTTGTAAGTGATAGGTTTTAGATGATTCTCACCAATGATGAATTTGAACTACATTATTGTTAGCCCATTGTGAGGCTAAGTTCACCCCTCTCATTTTGTGTGGATAATATCGTTTGTTCAAAAAAAAAGAGAGGAGAAAGTAGGTTCTCATCCTTCATTTTGCTACTCTATTGATTAAAATCTCATTCATTTTCAATTTTTGATCAAGGTCGTTGAGTATTAATAACATCATTAATTGTTTCAATAATAAAATATTTTTTTATTTCTAAATATATTCATTTAAGGTTAAAAATGTTACAATTAGTATATTTATATTTATGACTTTATCATATATTTTTAGTTTTAGTTTGTACCCATTTTTAATTTGTAATTCTTTTTTAATTTGTATCAATTTTCTTTTCAGTTTTAATTTGTACCCATATATTAATTTCTTTTTGTGCCCATATTTTTTAAAGTTTATTTGTATTTGTGCCCATATTTTTTTTATTTGTACTTTTTATTTTCCAAAATGTACCCATGCTAATTATATGTACCCATTCATATATGTAAAACTTTTTAATCTTAAAATGTACTCATACTTAAATATACCAATTTGTTATATGTAAAATGTACCTTTTTTTTATATATAAAATCTATTCAATTTTTTTCTAATCCATTTTTAAACTTATATGGGTACATTAATTCTTTTTTCTTTGATTTTAAAATGTATCCATGTCAAGTTTAATTGAAAAAAATTTACTAATGTTATTAAGCCTAATATTTTATTTTATTTTATTTTTTTGTGATTTTGAAGAATGTACCCATGTTTTGATACAATAATTTTTTTGGTTAATTTTGATGAACGTACCCATATTTATACACACACACAAAATAGTATATTTATATTTTAATATTTTTAATCCCACAATTTATGGTTTTTTATTTAAAATCTCATTTATATAAACAACTATAATTTTTAATTTTTAATTTAAAAAATATAGTAACGTACATAGAAATAAATTATCACATTAATTTCAGGGACCTCGATCAAAAATTAAAAACCAACAAGGTTTGAATCAAAGAATATTCATAACTAAGGACCGCATCTAAAGTCTCCCAAAAAAATATTATGAAATATTCTGACACTAACTAGGTGCATCCTGGCCACTAATGTCCAGTAGTATTCTTCTTCACTTGGAAGTAAGAGGTCTTAGGTTCAAATCTCGTGAATGGCGAATTTGATATCAAATTAGGCTACCGATTATGAGGCTTAGCCGAACTCTCCCTCTTCTTAGTATAAAAATATCGATGTACTCAGAAAAAAAAAAAAAAAAAAAAAAACCTAGGTGCATCTTATTTTCCAATTCAACAAAATCACCCCTCATACAGTCGAGTTTTCTTAGTAAAAAAATTGAGTCGATCAATCTGACCCTTTCACATGAAATTCTCTTGCGAAAAGTGTAATAAATTGATGACCCATCGTAAGCGTTACAACTTATATGTTTAGTTCATAAATCAAGTTGGCTCCGGCCGGCTTCAGGTTAAAATTTTAACAGTCATTGCCGTGGTCTGGTATGACTCCGTCTCTTGTTTCCTTCTTACAATTAGACCAACAACAAAAACAACATTCAAACTTCCCCGGTTGTGTAGCTTTTGTTCTGTTTTGTGGGATAACGCTTCTGCCATTTGAGGCTGCATCTGTTAGTAATTCCTTGATGTCGTTGTTTGTTCTGTTTCTTTGTCTTAGCTTTCTTTGTTCTTGCTGGCCGTTGTGCCCTGGTTCAAGAAAAAAAAAAAAAATCCTTCCAAAGGGAAGACATTTTCCTTTTTCCATGCCCCTCCTCTTCTTCCTCCTCATTGCGGCATTTTCTAACCATAACTTCCTTTTCATTGACTTTTAGGCAAATTATTTCAATTTCAATACAAATTTAACTTCCCTTTTGGGCGATATTTGCTATGTTTTAGGAATGAGGATCCTGTCCGAATCATTTTTGTGAGGATCTCGTAGATGTTCTAATCACATCCGTTCATCGTATATCGTGCGGCTACAAATCATTGTAAATCTTTTTATTTAAAATTAAATATAAACAGTATCTGACGAAAATTGACCGTACGATATACAATGAATGGATGTGATTAGAGAATTCTCGAGATCCTCACAAAGAGGACCCAGAGGGGATTCTCATTCATGTTTTAAAAGACAAACATGGAAATAGATCTTCTCCATATCCCTTCCACCAAGTCCGCCAAGGCCACAAATTCAGGCATTTGAAATTTGATTTAACGGCTAAAATTATTATAACTTTTAAAATGAATCTCGGTTTGTAACTGTTGAATCAAATTTTAAAAGTCCAGATTTATGGTCTAAATGGACTTGATGGAAGAAATGGGAGAGGATTCCTTCGTACAAACATAGCAAAATGGTTGTCCTTGATAAGCCAAGTCATCAGTCCACGCCAGATAAGTTTGTAATTTTCGATGACCCCTCCCCCATATCGATTGTATAAATGAAAATGAAAAAGAAAGATGGTAGGGTCTAGGGAATTTCATGGAAAATGTTCTTGACAAAAGCTTATTGACCAGACCGTAAAAGCGACTGCAATAAATGCTTTCAGTTTACAATTTTGTATTGACGTAAAAACTAAATTGTGTACAAGAAAAATATCATCACGCGGAGCCATGTCCAAAGGAGATTGTCTGAAAGTTCTGGTCTCCCCTGTTTCGGAACACTTTCGTTACATTTTTTTCCTATCATAAATGGCTCCGCAGTCTGCTCTTTTCTAGAGCAACATTGTCTCTCCCACCAAACCAAAAATGGCAGCCATCATCGCACTCGACTCGATGAATCTTGTCCATCACTTCCTTGTTATTGTCTTGCTTCTAATAATCCCTTGGGCAGCTCCTTTATCTTTCGATTTCCCCACTTTCCAACAAAATGATCTTACCAACGGTACTGGATTATTAATTACCGAGGGAGATGCTGTTATCGCCAACCAATCCATTCACCTCACCAAAGACTACGTGGGTGGGGAAACAACTCATGGAAGTGTTGGCCGAGCGACTTACGGCGAACCCTTCCTCCTTCGGGACAAAGATACCAGAAAACTTGCCGATTTCAACACAAGTTTCACATTTAGATTTGATGGCAAAAACAGTACTGTCCCCCCACACGACCAGGGGCTTGCTTTCTTCTTAGCGCCAAACGGATCCTTACTCAACCGAGCACTTGGAGTAGGTGGCAATATGGGCCTCCCAGTCAACAACTCGATGGAAAATGTTACAGAGCCGAGCAATGAGTACCCGTTTGTGGCTGTGGAGTTTGTTACCTTCCGGAATTCAAGGTCAACGGTGGAAGATCCATACTGCGGTCACGTGGGGATAAAAATCAACTCTTCGAATATTATTACCAAGCCGTGGAATAGTGGCATTATGGAAAGAGAACATAATCGTGCTTGGATTGGTTATAATTCGAGTTCGAAAAATCTTAGTGTTTCCCTCACCACTTATGTCAATGATGCCCGAGAGCAAGTGATTATTTCTCTCAGTTCCTTGGTTGATCTGAATAAATACTCGCCGGATTGGGTAATTGTCGGGTTTTCTTCTTCAATGGGTACTGCTCCCGCTCTGGTTGACATCATGTCATGGGATTTTACTTCTACTTCACTGGTAGGTGATGGATCCCTTGCTCTTTTCAGCCAAGAAAAGAAAGGTCAATCTCTAGTTCCTAAGCCAAGCCCTAGAACTAATAATGTCAAGTCAAGAAGACGGAAGAAACGAATGGGAGTCGTGATCAGTAGTGCTATTGGTGGGTTTATCTTGGCTTGTATTTTAGGTTTGGGTTTGTATAACTCGTGCAAGAAAAGAGCAACAGGAGGAAGGGCTGATATAGACCTTACCATTCCTAATGAATTGGGTGAAAAGATCTCCCTGAAGAAATTTAGTTATAAAGAGTTGGCTGGGGCGACGAGGAACTTTTCTGATGGAGAATTGCTTGGAGTTGGAAGATATGGTGCCTTTTACAAAGGCTGCATAAAAGAGTGGAACATACATGTTGCTGTGAAGAAGATGTCAAGATCTGAACTGGTGCTCAAAGAGTATGCATCACAAATAACGATTATCAGTCGACTTAGACATCGGAATCTAGTGCAACTTCTTGGTTGGTGCCAGCAAAAAGGAGAACTCCTACTTGTCTACGAGTTCATGCCTAACGGAAGCTTAAACAATTATTTATTCAAAGTACAGATCTCATTAGTTTGGGAGGTAAGATACAAAATTGCTCAAGACCTGGCTTCTGCATTGCTTTATTTACACGAACATGGCGAAGTATGTGTGCTCCATCGGGGGATCACATCCAGCAACATTATGTTGGATTCGGATTTCAATGCTAAACTTGGGGATTTTAGATTAGCTCGGTATCCACGTGAAAAGTACTGGGACACTATGTTATTAGCTCTGGAGTATGCTGCCACACGGACAGTTACCAAGAAATTTGACGTCTACAGCTTCGGAGTTGTTGCTTTGGAGATTTCCTGTGGGAGAAAGGCCATCGAACCAAGGTTGGCAAGTGGTCGAGTCAATATAATTGAGTGGGTTTCAGAGCTTTATGGAGAAGGGAAGATCATCGAAGCAGCTGACCCGAAGTTGTGTGGAAGTTTTGATGGAAAACAAATGGAGTGCTTGTTGATTGTCGGGCTGTGGTGTGCTCATCCATATTACAGTTTCAGACCTTCAATGCGACAAGTGATCCAAGTGCTTAATTGCGAGGTCGAAGTTCCGTTGCTCATTCCTGACATATCACTCTCAGCGTCATCTAGTTCTACCACCAGTTTTCAAGAAAACAGTGGGTCCTCAGGCCATGGAGATATGGATAACACCAATTCCTTGGTTCCGGAACGTGTTGTTGAGAGCTTAGACCCTTCGGAACCTGTCACTGTGGCCTTACACCCAGAGTCGAATATTGCTACACCCCTGTCAAGGACGCCAATGACTACCTCTCCTGACATACCACTCTCAGCGTCGTCTATTTCTACCACCCGTATTGAGAATAAAAAAAAGGGTCCTCAAGCCATGGTTTCCTTGGTCCCTGAAGGTGTCATTGTGATCTTAGACCTAGCAGTACTCTCATCAAGGTCGCCAACGACTACCTCTCCTGACATATCACTCTCAGCGTTGTCTAGTTCTACCACCAGTTTTCAAGAAAAAAGTGGGTCCTCAGGCAATGGCGATATGGATAACACCAGTTCGTTGGTCCCGGAATGTGTTGTTGAGAGCTTAGACCCTTCGGATTCAGGGTAGAGATGAAATTTAAAGGGTTGGCCTATTACTTTCCTAATGTAAGTTGTCAAGAAACTCACCATTGAAATAAAGAGAAACATATTATGAAATATTCTGACACTAACTAGGTGCATCTTGGCCAGTAATGTCCAGTAGTATTCTTCTTCACTTGGAAGTAAGAGGTCTTAGGTTCAAATCTCGTGAATGGCGAATTTGATATCAAATTAGGCTACCGATTATATGGCTTAGCCGAACTCTCCCTCTTCTTAGTATAAAAATATCGATGTACTAAAAAAAAAAAAAAAAAAAACCTAGGTGCATCTTATTTTCCAATTCAACAAAATCACCCCTCATACAGTCGAGTTTTCTTAGTAAAAAAATTGAGTCGATCAATCTGACCCTTTCACATGAAATTCTCTTGCGAAAAGTGTAATAAATTGATGACCCATCGTAAGCATTACAACTTATATGTTTAGTTTATAAATCAAGTTGGCTCCGCCCGGCTTCGGGTTAAAATTTTAACAGTCAATGCCGTGGTCTGGTATGACTCCGTCTCTTGTTTCCTTCTTACAATTAGACCAACAACAAAAACAACATTCAAACTTCCCCGGTTGTGTAGCTCTTGTTCTGTTTTGTGGGATGACGCTTCTGCCATTTGAGGCTGCATCTGTTAGTAATTCCTTGATGTCGTTGTTTGTTCTGTTTCTTTGTCTTGGCTTTCTTTGTTCTTGCTGGCCGTTGTGCCCTGGTTCAAAAAAAAAAAAAAAAATCCTTCCAAAGGGAAGACATTTTCCTTTTTCCATGCCCCTCCTCTTCTTCCTCCTCATTACGGCATTTTCTGACCATAACTTCCTTTTCATTGACTTTCAGGCAAATTATTTCAATTTCAATACAAATTTAACTTCCCTTTTGGGCGATATTTGCTATGTTTTAGGAATGAGGATCCTGTCCGAATCATTTTTGTGAGGATCTCGTAGATGTTCTAATTACATCCGTTCATCGTATATCGTGCGGCTAGAAATCATTGTAAATCTTTTTATTTAAAATTAAATATAAACAGTATCTGACGAAAATTGACCGTACGATATACAATGAATGGATGTGATTAGAGAATTCTCGAGATCCGCACAAAGAGGATCCGGAGGGGATTCTCATTCATGTTTTAGAAGACAAACATGGAAATAGATCTTCTCCATATCCCTTCCACCAAGTCCGCCAATGCCACAAATTCAGGCATTTGAAATTTGATTTAACGGCTAAAATTATTATAACTTTTAAAATGAATCTCTGTTTGTAACTGTTGAATCAAATTTTAAAAGTCCAGATTTATGGTCTAAATGGACTTGATGGAAGAAATGGGAGAGGATTCCTTCGAACAAACATAGCAAAATGGTTGTCCTTGATAAGCCAAGTCATCAGTCCACGCCAGATAAGTTTGTAATTTTCGATGACCCCTCCCCCATATCGATTGTATAAATGAAAAAGAAAAAGAAAGATGGTACGGTCTAGGGAATTTCATGGAAAATGTTCTTGACAAAAGCTTATTGACCAGATCGTAAAAGCGACTACAATCTCCAAAGGAGATTGTCTGAAAGTTCTGGTCTCCCCTGTTTCGGAACACTTTCGTTACATTTTTTTCCTATCATAAATGGCTCCGCAGTATGCTCTTTTATAGAGCAACATTATCTCTCCCACCAAACCAAAAATGGTTGCCATCATCGCACTCGACTCGATGAATCTTGTCCATCACTTCCTTGTTATTATCTTGCTGCTGATAATCCCTTGGGCAGCTCCTTTATCTTTCGACACAAGTTTCACATTTAGATTTGATGGCAAAAACAATACTGTCCCCTCACATGACCAGGGGCTTGCTTTCTTCTTAGCGCCAAACGGATCCTTGCTCAACCGAGCACTTGGAGGAGGTCGCAATATGGGCCTCCCAGTCAACAGCTCGGTGGAAAATGTTACAGAGCCAAGCAATGAGTACCCGTTTGTGGCTGTGGAGTTTGTTACCTTCCGGAATTCAAGGTCAACGGTGGAGGATCCAGACTGCGGTCGCGTGGGGATAAAAATCGACTCTTTGAATTATATTACCAAGCCGTGGAATAGTGGTATTGTGGAAGGAGAACAAAATCGTGCTTGGATTGATTATAATTCGAGTTCGAAAAATCTTAGTGTTTCCCTCACCACTTATGCCAATGATACCCGAGAGCAAGTGATTATTTCTCTCTGTTCCTTGGTTGATCTGAATAAAAACTTGCCGGATTGGGTAATTGTTGGGTTTTCTTCTTCAACGGGTACTGCTCCCGCTCTGGTTGACATCATGTCATGGAATTTTACTTCACTGGTAGGTGATGGATCCCTTGCTCTTTTCAGCCAAGAAAAGAAAGGTCAATCTCTAGTCCCTTCGGCCCAAACGATAAAAGATGAATCTCTAGTTCCTGAGCCAAGCCCTAGAACTAATAATGTCAAGTCAAGAAGACGGAAGAAACGAATGGGAGTCGTGATCAGTAGTGCTATTGGTGGGTTTATCTTGGCTTGTATTTTAGGTTTGGGTTTGTATAACTCGTGCAAGAAAAAAACAACAGGAGGAAGGGCTGATATAGACCTTACCATTCCTAATGAATTGGGTGAAAAGATCTCCCTGAAGAAATTTAGTTATAAAGAGTTGGCTAGGGCGACGAGGAACTTTTCTGATGGAGAATTGCTTGGAGTTGGAAGATATGGTGCCTTTTACAAAGGCTGCATAAAAGAGTGGAACATACATGTTGCTGTGAAAAAGATGTCAAGATCTGAACTGGTGCTCAAAGAGTATGCATCACAAATAACGATTATCAGTCGACTTGCACATCGGAATCTGGTGCAACTTCTTGGTTGGTGCCAGCAAAAAGGAGAACTCCTACTTGTCTATGAGTTCATGCCTAACGGAAGCTTAAACAATTATTTATTCAAAGCACAGATCTCATTAGTTTGGGAGGTAAGATACAAAATTGCTCAAGACCTGGCTTTTGCATTGCTTTATTTACACGAACATTGCGAAGTATGTGTGCTCCATCGGGGGATCACATCCAGCAACATTATGTTGGATTCGGATTTCAATGCTAAACTTGGGGATTTTAGATTAGCTCGGTATCCATGTGAAAAGCACTGGGACACTATGTTATTAGCTCCAGAGTATGCTGCCACACAGACAGTTACCAAGGAATTTGACGTCTACAGCTTCGGAGTTGTTGCTTTGGAGATTTCCTGTGGGAGAAAGGCCATCGAACCAAGGTTTGCAAGTGGTCGAGTCAATATAATTGAGTGGGTTTCGGAGCTTTATGGAGAAGGGAAGATCATCGAAGCAGCTGACCCGAAGTTGTGTGGAAGTTTTGATGGAAAACAAATGGAGTGCTTGTTGATTGTCGGGCTGTGGTGTGCTTATCCAGATTACAGTTACAAACCTTCAATGCAACTAGTGATCCAAGTGCTTAACTGCGAAGTCGAAGTTCCGTTGCTCATTCTCCCATTAAGGACGCCAATGTCTACCTCTCGTCCTGACATACCACTCTCAGCGTCGTCTAGTTCTACCACCAGTTTTCAAGAAAACAGTGGGTCCTCAGGCCATGGAGATATGGATAACACCAATTCCTTGGCTCAGGAACGTGTCGTTGAGAGCTTAGACCCTTCGAAACCTGTCACTGTGGTCTTACACCCAGAGTCGAATATTGCTACACCCCTATCAAGGACGCCAATGACTACCTCTCCTGACATACCACTCTCAGCGTCGTCTATTTCTACCACCCGTATTGAGAATAAAAATAAGGGTCCTCAAGCCATGGTTTCCATGGTCCCTGAAGGTGTGGTTGTGATCTTAGACCCCGCAGTACTCTCATCAAGGACGCCAACGACTACCTCTCCTGACATATCACTCTCAGCGTTGTCTAGTTCTACCACCAGTTTTCAAGAAAAAAGTGGGTCCTCAGGCCATGGCGATGTGGATAACACCAGTTCGTTGGTCCCGGAAGGTGTTGTTGAGAGCTTAGACCCTTCGGATTCAGGGTAGAGATGAAATTTAAAGGGTTGGGCTATTACTTTCCTAATGTAAGTTGTCAAGAAACTCACCATTGAAATAAAGAGAAACATTTTGTAATTCAGGAAAATTTTAGAGTTTTGGACCTTATAAAAGTACATTGAATGATGGTTAAGATAAAATTCAATTTATTAAATTGAAAAATCAGCAATAAGAAATAAACACTTTTAAATAATATTTGAAAAAAAAAATAAAAAAACATTTAAGTAATAATTCAATCATAAAAAATCACGTTACAAAATTTGATGTAAAAATTTGATATCTCTAGTATTACTCTAAAAAGACCGGAGAATTCAGGAAAAATGCACCGAAAAGAAACTACAACAGTTTCCAAGAAGTAAAGAAGAGTACCAGATTAAGCGTTGCAAGCCCCATTTAGGAGTGAGAAAGTTGATGGCCCCAAGTGCTGGTTTCGGAACACCTTCACTACAGTCAGTACCAGGTCTCCAAGTCCTCCCGCCAATCAACCTTTGTGTATATATTTTTAACTGGAAATTTCAACTCTGCAATCATTTGCTTCCCTGTTTTAGAGACCGCTCGTTTATCATGTGGTGAATCGGTGACAATGGAGTATCCAGTGTTTTTCTTTCCCACCAAAAGCAAAAATGGCTGCCATTTGAATTGATAATAAACTTTGGGCCTTTGCACCGGCCCAATTCCTTCAGAAAATCACCAACGGTCCAATGCCTATTCAATCGTTGCCTATTTGAACAGTGACTGGGCCCAGTATTTAAAAATTATTATGACGTGACAAAATTAGGTGGCAAGTCTATGGGTAGGGGAATTTTGCAGGGTTTTGGCAAAGAAAAAGCGCTTTTCAAAGGCAAAAACTTGTAATTCAAGAGGATCAATGGGTGAACTCATCCCTTGCCGAGCAAGTCGCACCAACCACTTGATGATAAGAGGGATGCATCAAAGACGGAAAGCTTAATTCACAGGAAAGGAAGCTCAATAAAAGCAGCTGACCCGAAGTTGTGTGGAAGTTTTGATGATGAACAAATGAAGTGCTTGTTGATTGTCAAGAGTACAAATCCAGACCTTCAATACAAGTGTTTCAAGTGCTTAACTACAAATCCGAACTTCCGTTGCTCATTCTCCCATCAAGGACGCCAATGACTACCTCTGCTCCTGAAATATCACTCTCAGTGTCGTCTAGTTCTACCACCAGACCTGAAGAAAAAACTGGGTCCTCAGGGCATGGTGACATGGAGAACACCAATTCCTTGGTCCCGGAAGGCGTCGGTGAGAGCTTAGATCCTTTGGATTCGGTAAAGATGAACTTTAAAGGATTGGCCTATAACTTTCTCTGTTTACAGGAGTACAAATATACAAGACAATTTACCCATAAACTTTCTCTAATGTACTTTTCAAGAAACTCATCATTGAAATGAAGAGAACCATTTCGTAGTTCAGGAAAATTATAAAGTTTCGGACCTTACAAAATGGTTACTACCCCTTGTCTTTTTGAGTGATTCCCAAGGGTCTCGAAAAGACAAGGGTAGTAACCTAGGAATAGCTCAACCAGGGGGACAGAATCACTCACGTCTCTAAGGGGATAGAACCTAAGAATCACTCTACTAGGGGCAACGGAATCACTCACGACTCTAATCATGAATTCACTCACACGATCAAGCCTCACACTTGATTTTAGAAGGAGAAACAACTTACTTCGATTGCACTAAGCAAATGATATTTTAATTTTATTCAAGTCTTCCTAAAATACATATGGAGTCCTTTAAATAGAGAGATTACAAACATTGGTAGGATAAATACTTATTACTAACGATTATAGTTCCTAGAACCTAATAAAACATAGCTTTGAAATATGAAAAGCCAAAAACAATCAAATTTAATATAAAAACTATACTTAATGTCGTGCATTGCATCATTGACTGATGGTTGGTTAATATATAATTCAACTAAGTATTTATTTCTGCACTTGAGGTCGTGCGTTCGATATCCCTTCTGGAAATAAAGTAAAGTGCCAGATTGTAAGTGTGCAAGCCAACCAGCAGTGACAAGGTTGATGGCCCCAAGCGCTGGTTTGGGAACAATTTCACTAGATTCAGTCAACCAGGTCTCCAAGTCCTCCTCCCAATCAAACTTTGTTTACACATTTTCAACTGGAAATTTCACCCTGCAATCATCTGCTTCTTTATTTTAGAGGTCCCCCATTTGTCACACGGTGACTTGGTGACAAGAAAGTCTCTGTCGTCTCTGTCAGCACCAGTGTTTTTCTTTCCCACCACCAAAAGCAAAAATGGCTGCCAATAACTCGGCTATCATGGTAGTCCTCTCACCAAAGCTTGATCATCACTTCTTTGTTATTCTCCTGCTTCTGTTAATCCCTTTTGCAGCTCCTTTATTATGAAATTTCCCACTTTCAACAAGGTGATCACACCAACAGTACGGATGTGTTGAAAAAATTAGTTACCGAGGGAGATGCTGTTATCCGCAACCAACTCATTCACCTCACCAAAGGCAGAGATGGAGGGGAAACACTTGTGGCTAATGGAAGTTTTGGCTGTGTCAGGTATGGCAAACCCTTCCTCCTCCAGGACAATGATACAGGAAGACTTGCTGATTTCAGCACAAGTTTCACGCTGATTTCAGCACAAGTTTCACGTTCATGATCAACACAAAAAACAGTACCACCCCCTCCTATGCCGAGGGGCTGGCCTTCTTCTTAGCGCCAAACGGGTCCTTACTCAACCGAGCACCTGGAGGAGGTAACAGTATGTGCCTCCCTGTCAACAGCTCTGTGAAAAATGTTACAGAGCCGAGCAATGAAAACAATCTTGTTTAGGTTTCATAAATATTCCTAGTATCCAAATAGCATGTAAATTTATGAACTATCAAAGGATTACAGAGACAACCAAGAATGAGAAACAAAGCACAGAGCAAACAAACGATATAAACTGAGAAAACCAAACAATCGATTTGAAAATGATAAATTTGCGTTGCTTGAAAGGAAAACTATGGTGAAACAACACATCAAAGGCGACATACCAACTTTGATTCAAGTGCAATCGCTCCGGACCCCTAGATCAAAGGTAGCAGGAAGAGGAGATCACAATGTTCCAATGAAAGTCTGATCCAAACTGTAAAAAATTAATGAGATTCAGAGTAAGAATTCAAAGCACAAACATATGGACACAGGAAAAGTAACTCAATCTGTGACAGTGCAATGGACTCGAGCTGGAACATTATAACGAACTTAATCTACGACAGATTTAGATTTCACAAAAGAGAAGCAGCTAAGAATGGGAAGATATCACTTATCACCATGACCTTTTTTCGCATTCAACTTTTCCATTTCAGATGATAGATTATTTAAAAAAAGTTAATCAAGACATTCCAACAAACTCAAAAACGTACTAAAACCAAAAATTTGTACCGCTCATCCCCACCCATAAAATGCATTGAGGTCGTGATATGAACTTAATCTGTGGCAGAATGGAGATGGTAAGATATTCGAGATAACTATATTAAAACATTTTACGGGCGAAAGGTTATAGCATTGTAAATGAAGAGATAAAGTGAGATGCAACAAAGGTAAACGTCACACGTCAAATGTCAAAGACACTTCAGGCATAGGACAACATGTTGAAACACTTTACGCACAACACTTAAAATTTTAAATCCCCTTTAAAAAAATATATAAAACAATCCTAAACAACTTTCAAGCAAATTGTACACAGAGCAAGGAGCTTAAAGAGATTTGAGAAGGATATAAAACTTCAGGCAAAGTATGACTCACACAAACCAAATGCAAACCATATATTCCAAATACCATATCCCATTTTAAAATACAGGGAAAAAAAAGAATGATTTCATTCTAATCTCGAAACAAAAGGGCAAATGTTAAGCATTAACTAATGAGAAATAGATATGTATAAACTCAAAAATTCAAAGTTTCAAATGTGGCATGCTTTGGATAAAAAAAGTACAACCGAGATGTGCCAAAAGTGGCCTATTAGATACCCCAAAAAAAAATAACAAAGATCAATAAAAAAAAAAAGTTAAAAGACTAAAATAAGCAGGTTGAAGGTCTCGATGTATTTGCCTATTTTTTCACACAATTCTTAGAAATCAAATGGATTTCCTCAGATTGACTGGGTACAATATTAAAATCCAACACAGAATTAAGGATTTTCAAACGACACAATTAGAAGCTGTAGGCAAACTTGAATTCAGTTTACTTAACAGCTTTTACATTTCTTTACTTATGAATAATTTTTTTTAGAATGAAGTTAGAAGATGTTCTAGCAACAAAGACTATTAGAAGTTGGAAAGATATGCCGATGCAGTCGTTTGAGAACATAGTTTCAAAAACTTTGGGCAGGAAATTTGCATGCAAGGAAAATCAACAATGGGTGAGTATGACTCAAAGCTGGTTTATGTTTAAAAGCCCTCTGTAAGACTACGAACCATCAAATTTAGTTGGCTTTTCACTAACAAAAAGCCATGATGTAGACACCGATAACCAAAAGCAAAGTAATTAGAAAGAACGCACAAAATAACCAACAAAGTGATGACATAAAAATTTCAAGCATGTGGTATCATTTGTGAATGAACAAAAAAATAGATGTATCATGTAGTCTGAAGGAATAGATAATTGAGAATTCCACTCACAGGGTGACCATGACAACAACAAACAATAGAAAGATGAACTAAAACAGGCAAAACACATAGAATGCATTTTTGCAGAGAGGTTGTAACGTTGAAAAAACATTGCAACAATAGTAAGAAGACCAGAAAAAATATCTATTCTAAAGTAAATTAGTTCCATCATGCATAAATCAAGGCAATTAGGGAAGGGTAGTGTCTATGGTAGTCCAACCTATTAAAGATATAGTCATGGGCAAATTAGTATTGACATTAAAGAGCACTCAACTATTCATAAGATAAGTTTATGCAAACAATCAAATGCAAATAATTTTTTTGGGGTGATTAATTGTGGCAAAGAGATCCTATACATATGGCAGAAAATGACACTAAAATAGGAATCCCAACCCAAATATCATCACAGAAGCAAAACTTCCCCCGTTTGAACCGTGAAGCAAAGATCACAAAAGAACATGGAAAGGACCTGAGCTTGTCTTTCCATGGGCATCACCACGACCCTCTAATGAACTCGAATAAGTCACGTCATGCAACATGTATTTACTCCATAAACCATACAACAAAATTCCACACAGAATTAGTTCCCAAGGGGGCATACACAAATCTACCAATATATTTTTTTTTTTATCAAACTCAATGTTTATGCTGGTGTGAGTGGGAAACTGCTGATATAGGGTGAACCTGGTGTAGGTTCAAAACAAACAACCACCGTGTTTGAAAAATGGGTGTAAGCTATTAACTTCTGACCTATTATCTTTTTCCATTACTATGTGCAGTTAAACATCTGCAAGAACATTTTTCGTTGGTGGAAGCTGTTTTAGAAGAGAATGGAAGTTCTTCCAAAGTCGGATTCTAGTTTTTAATCCTGTAATGATTTCCATCACTGGGCAAAACTGATTTTTCTAATACGGGATGGACTTGTTATTTCTCTCCTGAGTTAAGAACAACAATTACAGGATCAATAAGGACTATGTGAACTGCAAGGATTAAGAGTGCAGGAAAAACATTAATCCAGATAAACAAAAGACAATAAGTATCAAAGAGCACCAAAAGGCAAAAACTTTAAAGTCTGTCAAATAAATTTCAATTCAAGGGTTTAAACCCATCGATCTAAGTAGAAACATACAAAGTATGGAAAATAGAAAAATAAGCAGAGAGGGAGTTTAGAACATTGCAATTGAGGCTTGTCTCATTAATTTTTTTTTTTTTTTTTTTTAATTAAGAACACACACACAGCCTGCCCCGTAAGAAACAATCCATGAAGCTATTCAACATCATATGAAACAACCTATGGTATAACGACATGTTAAGACTGAGCTATAGCATGCTAAATACCCTTGTCATTACCAACTCTGATTCTCTTTGGGAGGGAAAAATAACAGAGAAAAACATTTTATCAGTAATCTTCTATGGGCAAGAAGACAGAAAATAATCACTACTAATAACTCAATACATCACCACTGATAACTCAATACAGAGAGAGAAGAACCTGCAATTAGGTTTTATCAAAAGAAAATCGCAGAAAGAAACGAAGAGACACAAAAAATAGAAACTGAATACGTAATTTATAAACAAACATACATGTACACAGACGCACAGATATACACATAAACACACACACAGGCACAAATACAAAAAAGTTAAAACATAGCTCAATTAAAAAATGACTTTTTTTTTTTTTCTTCAGAAAATCACAGATAGTAAATCAGTCTATTCTATTTACTGATTTTGTTCCAATTCAAATCACAGAAAGGAACTGAAAAGTTTAAAACAGGAATGTCAAATACCTTGACCTAAATACAATGCTTTAGCAAGCTGACCACCAGTAATCTACACACAACACCAATCCGAGAAATACGAACTTCGGGTAGAAGTGAAAAATCACCTGGTCAATAAATTTAATAAGTTTAGGGATTAGTATTCTGAAAGAGGATTGAAATATTAAAAACTAATAAAAGGGATAAAATTCTATACATCGAATGACAGTCAACCCTAAACCGTGGTTTTGAAGATCAATACATTCGTTGCTTTCATCATCAAAAACGCATTGAAAGCCAAAGTTGTTGATCATGTTTAGGATGACAAACACTTTACAGCAACTTTAAAAGCATGCTTGTTCAAAGACATAAGCTATAATCAAACCAAACAGAAAAATTAAATCTATTTCTACCAACAGGAACCATAATTTCCTACCAAAAATAACATATGTCAACAGATTTGTTAGCAAACGATTCACAGCGCATCGTATGTGAATGAACAAAAACCAGATGCATAATGTATGTTAGAGGGATATAAAAACTGAGCATTTGATTCACAGGGTCAGCACAACAACAAATAATAGGGTAATGATCAAAAAGGGGCAAAATGCATACAATTTGATTTATGCAGAGAAGCTATAACACTGAAAGACCAACACAACAGGAAGAAAAAGAGAAATGAAAAGGAAGTGGTATTATGAGACAGTGAAGAAAGCAGCACAAAATATCTGTTTTTCTGTCCCAATTTAGTAATTTAAAAAGAAATCTTGCACTCCCAACTAAAAGTTGAAGAACCGAACCAGAACCAAACAGAAAACAAAGCAGGAAAAAAAGCATGTTTCTGAGTAGGTTCAGACCAGAAACAGTGAAATAAGGGAAAATTCTGTCCAAATGGGACACTTAGCTTTGAAAGGAATTCAAGCTGCTAGCTGGGAGAAATACTCATGAATGCTTGCAGAGATAGCTTCCAGCTGGAACCAAATATCTGAAACCAACCCTAGGTTTAGGCGTCCCTTCCTGCCTCACTGTTTCTCTAAGTAGAGCTCACTGAGAGAAAAAAAAAAAAAAAAAAAAAAACCCAAATTCCGGGCAGCCCTACCTATTGCTTTGCTCATCCTACCCCTCCCCCTCTCCTCCAATTTTTCGTTCCAGAAGTCCTCGTCTCTCTTCTCTCTGGCATCGCACGACCCCTCTCTCTTCTCTCTGCCATCGGACGACTCCTCTCTCTGTCTTCTCCCTCGCATCCCATGACACCTCCCCTCTCTTCTCACTGGCATCGTTGCAGGCTAGGCCTGCCTGTGTTGGCCATCCATCCGAAAAACCCAACCACAAACAAAACCCACCAACCCAGTGACAGCCCAAACCCGCAAAGCCCATACAAAATCCTTAGAGCAATAGCATGTCCGTAAATAAAATGAAATTCGGATCCAAAAACTATTCATTTGTACAGTGCAATTGAAAAGCCTTCTTTAGACTAAAGTAATGATGTGTGTGTGTATATTTATATATTATCATTCTGTTATTGGTACAAAGTTAAAATGCATGAAGGAAAATCAGTAGGACTCTATATAAAATTGTCCCAATAACAAGCTAAGCCGTGACCAATACTCCTAGCAACACCCTTCAGTGCCCATTGGCAAAATTTCTAGCAGTGTTAGGTTTGAAAAAATAAATCACCCGACTAATAATTTTGTCGTATCGATGTTAGCCTTAACCGTGCCCGTAACTCGACTTGTGTACACAAAATTGCCACCACTAGACTGTCTACAATGGGAGGCCTAAGACATTATCTAGATCGTTATATGTTGATGTGTACAACATTGACCCCATAGATTTTCGAAATTGTTTGGTAATTTAAAATGAGACAAAAACACTGTTTACTTCACCAGTAAAAAACTGGCCCAAGGCTTCTACTAATCTATGGGCATTTTACCCTCAATAGCCAACGTTAGATAAAATTGAAACGAACAGGCGAATAATCAATTGGCTGAATAATTACTAATTGAACCATTTTTTACATGGATAATTCTTGAAGAAAACCTATAAATTAAACGAGAACTGAACGTACGCGATTCTTGACTTGCACACCAAAAATAAGAAGTTCAGTAAGAGCACTTCCACTGGGGTGGGATAAGCCGGCACACAACAAAAAAAATGGCCCAGCACCTAGGGAAGTCTCTCCAGCCCATAGGATTGCTTGGCACCCAGCCTAAGCTGGTCTCCAGGCCAACCCAAAATTGATAGACCTTGGGACCGACCCGTATGACACCATGCTGACGTTAGGGATGGAATCGGCGACTTGGATCTACGATTGTGATGCAGTCGTGAAGTGTGAGTCCACCATGGGGGAGAAAGAGAGTGTGTGCGTTCGAACCCGGAGAGGGATTCAAATCGCTGAGAGAGATCTAGCAACACCAAACCCTTGGACCCGCAAAAGCGAACAAAGGGAGAGAGATCTAAGGAGAGTTCAAGCTCTCGGCTTCAATGGTAGGACCTCACACCATGCACTGATGCCGCATGCAAGGCCATGGTTGGGTTCCTTGAGCTTTAGGGATTACAAAAATAATATTTTGTGTTTGATTTGTTGAAGGTTTTGAAGAGGAAGGAGAAGGAGAGCTCACGGAAGTGAGCTCGAAAAGAGAGAGAGAGAGAGAGAGAGAGAGAGAATAGAGAGAACCGGTCAAATGATTGGGTAAGGAAATAGGTTTTTAAAACCTATTAAAATCATTATTTTAAAGGTCCAATTGGAGATTCATTTTATTTAATCATATTTTAATAAAATGGATTATGCTATTTTTTGTTAGGGGTGGAGATGCATTTGGCCTATTAGTGTTTATTGGGGTCTATCACTGTTCACTAAGTGGATAAATGGGCTGGGTGCTGACGCAAGATCTTTAGGGATGGAATTGCTCTAAGGACATCCTTACTTTAAAAAACATCTCTAAATGAGTATATAACACTTATTAAATTACACTTGTTCGCTGACCAAAGTGATGGAACTTATAAGAAGTTATTCAACAAGATGCAATGTACTATGAAGAACTAATGCTATAAGAGTCGCCTAAAGACTCAGTTTGGTCTTCTTCAGGACCAGCAGTAGAACTAGACAACAATGAGAGTAATACTGGAGAAGCTATTTATGTGGCCACCTCTGCATAATCCCGAACTTTTCCTCGGCAGTCAGTCAATGAAGAAAGTTGAGTAAAACCAATAGGTAATTATGCTGAGTAGCCCAACTTATTTTACAAGTCCTTGCAATTGGTTCCTCCTCCCATTAATATGGAATTCATTCTAAAGAGTCGAGTTATCAATTGTCATTCTATTTCGAACCCTAATTGAACTCATCTATTCCATAACTTTGGCTCGTCAACCACGCGAAAAGAAACAATATACACACATTTAAACCTTCAATTCAACTCTCTCCAACTCTTGATTTCCTTTTAGGTGTTCCTGGCTGACTACCCAACGCTCATTTAAGTCCTATTATTTTTCGATGGGTAAAGGAATGACATGTTTGGGAAGCACTTCTGTTTACAAGAGTTTTCACTGGCTAGAAACGGTTTATTAATTGCATAACCAATGGTTGTATTAAAATCCTAGTGTTTCTTTGGATAACACTTGCAAAATGGTTGCTAAAGAAGCATCGAGCTATGTTGCGCCATGACCGGTCCGTATGCTATATATATGAATAGTGAAACTTGGAGAAACTAGAGGAACTATAGATGTCATTTGGCCTTTATTATCATTCTAGCTAGCAGATAAATGGCGACATTGCCATATGATTATTGACCTACTCTTTTATATATCAAGTCGTTCAAGTTTGGCGCTTAATCCACCAGGAGTCCAAGACAAAACTTATTAGTCCTCGGTCCCCACACCACAGGACTCGCCCACCTATGATCTTTACTGGTCCCGCCCTCTTGAATAAGTAGGAACAGATGCACAAGGATGGCTGGCATCTGCATCTACCCAAAGTAAATTATGAAACAAGTCCAACTATAATGTCAATTTGGTCGTTCTGATGAAGTCCGTCTAGAAACGAGTATCTCGATTTGAACAGGTAAGCAAAGTGCTGCTGATAAAAGTACTTTCAAAAATTGAACTGATCAACTTTCGCTTCTGTATTTTAGATGATCACAATTTGATCTGTAAAGCTTGCCAAAAAAAAAAAAAAATTGTTAGAAATGATTGTCTCACCAAGGCATCTCAAATTTCTCCTTCTTCTGTTGTCTCAATTATTTTCTTGTGCATCTCCATTATCCTTCAACTTCTCCACCTTTCCAAATGGCATCAACACCTTATCTCTCGAGGGAGATGCTTACATTGATGGAAAATTCCTTCGACTCACCAAAAGCACTGTTGACGACGTACATGAACAAAGTGTCGGTCGAGCCACCTACAGCCAACCCTTCCTCCTCCGCGACAAGGCCACAGGAAAGCTTGCCGATTTCACAACAAACTTCACGTTTGTCATCGATTCCCGAGGCAAGACACCCTACGCGGACGGACTAGCCTTCTTTTTGGCACCAAACGGGTCCTTACTCAACAGCACAATAGGCAGAGGCGGCAGTCTAGGACTCCCCGTCGACAACCTTCCCCACAACGTGTCAAAAAGTCAGTATCCTTTTTGGGCGGTGGAGTTTGATATCTACCGGAATGAAGTGACGTCCGTGGAAGATCCTGCCGGAGATCACGTCGGTGTAGACATCAACTCTGTGAAGTCTAAGATGACCGAATCGTGGAATGGTAGTATTACAAACGGACAAGTCAATAGTGTTGGCATTAGTTATGATTCTGCATCAAACCATGTTGGTATTGTTTTCACAAGTTATGTGAATGATGTTCAAGTGATGAAGCATATCGATTGCAGGGTTGATTTGAATGAGATTCTCCAGGGTTGGGTCATTGTTGGGTTCTCCGCTGCAACAGGTTCTCTGACTGCTGTGGACAAGATCAAATCATGGAGTTTTAATTCGATTCAACTGCATGAAGAGAATGCAACGAAGAACACTTCGGTGGTTCCTGAGCCGAGCCCCATTGTTGACCCCAAGTTAGGAAATGGGACCGATATAGGACTAATTTTTGGGTTGGGTGCCGGTGGGATTGTTTTCTTAGTTGGTGGGTTGGGTTTGGTTTGGTTTTTGATCTGGAAGAAGAGGGGAAGTAGTTCAGAAGATGGAATGGTTAATGACTGGATCGATAAGGAATTCCAAAAGGGGACAGGCCCGAAGAAGTTTTCGTACAGAACATTGGCAGCATCCACGAGTAATTTTGACGAAAGAGAGAAGCTTGGAGAGGGAGGATTTGGTGGGGTTTATAGAGGCTTCATAAAAGACTTAAACACGTACGTTGCTGTTAAGAGGATATCAAGCAAGTCTAGACAGGGGATGACGGAGTATGCAGCAGAAGTAAGGATCATCAGTCGGCTAAGGCATCGGAATCTGGTGCAACTCATTGGTTGGTGCCATGAAAATAGAGAGCTCTTACTTGTCTCTGAGTTCATGTCCAACGGCAGCTTAGATTCCCATTTGTTCAAAGGGAAAAGCTTGTTAGCTTGGGAGGCAAGAAACAAAATTGTTCTAGGTTTGGCATCCGGGTTGTTGTATCTACACGAAGAATGGGAACAATGTGTGCTGCACAGGGATATCAAATCCAGCAATATCATGTTGGACTCAAATTTCAACGCAAAACTAGGGGATTTTGGGTTAGCTCGGCTTGTGGACCATGGAAAGCAATCACAAACAACAGTTTTGGCCGGAACTATGGGTTACATGGCTCCTGAATGTCTTACCACAGGAAAGGCTAGCAAGGAAACAGATGTCTACAGCTTTGGAGTTGTAGCTTTGGAGATAGCTTGTGGGCGAAAACCCATTGATCCCATGTCGGGAAGGAGTAAAATGAATATGGTGGGGTGGGTTTGGGAGCTTTATGGAGAAGGGAAAGTCATTGAAGCGGCTGACCCTAAATTGTGTGGAGAGTTTGATGAGAAACAAATGGAGTGTTTGTTGATTGTTGGTTTGTGGTGTGCTCATCCGGATTACACGATCAGGCCTTCGATACGACAAACAATTCAAGTGCTTAATTTCGAAGTCCCATTGCCTACTCTCCCGTCAAAGATGCCGGTGGTTGGCTACTTTTCACCTCCGCTAACATTGTCAATTTCGTCTACTGATACTACAGATTTGGAAAGAGGGGAAACATATTCTTCAGGTTATCGTTACAACACGAATTCCTCACTGTTCACTAAATCATCTGCATCAAATTCTTCTCTATCAGCACACTTTGGTACACAATAAATTTTAATTTAATGATTCTGTTTTACGTATATAGAATTTGTTTAGTAATTTTTTTTTATTTTTTTTATTTTTTTATGTTTGATTATATTGTATATGCACTGGAACTGGAAAAACAAGAAGTTTCAGAGTGGACAAGCTCGACTCTGTTCTCCAAGCTGACTGTTCTACCCGTTTCTGTACTCAAAGTATTTAAAGAGGTCTTTATCAAATTCTAGAAAGAAAGAAAATTAGAACAAAAAGATTAGCAGAAAAACCCAACTTTCAATTCTGACTTCTGAATGCTAATTGCTGACCATTTCCATTTTTCAAGCACTCCAATGAATTCAATTCATTTTCCATATTGTACAAATTTTCTTTCCAAAATACATTTGCCCGGTTTATTAATTCGTTAACTTTGGCCCCGTCAACCAGTAGCAGATATCCAGAAATATGCTTCCTTACGGTGATGTAGAAACTCTCAAATATATTTTTTTTTGTACAAGCAATGCTGAGGGAAGGTAGGTTCAAACTCAAAACCTCGCATGCAAAGTGAAATGCACTTAAACCCTAAGCCAAATATATTGTTGTAACTAAAAGAAGTTTTGGAGTTTTAGTTAAGTATTAAAGGAAATGACTCTAGTCTTTTTCATTAGCATAATATTTTTGTTTAAGATGAAAGAAGCTCCCAAATAAGGATTAAGCTTTCAAAATTAATGTTTGGGCTGCTAATTAAAAGGGGCAATTTTAATGCCTTCGTACCAGTAGTTGTCCTCGTCTCGACCTCCTCTTCAAGGCATTTAATCGAACAAGTTGCAAACTTTCTCCAAGTTGAAAGAAAAGATCAATTCAATTGAGCAATTAAATGCGAGAGGGACGATGGAGTAGGCGCGACAGCCTGCACTGGCCCTCCGCCACTGCCGTTGACCACACAAACAAAACGAAGCAATAAATATATAGATAAGAAATTAAATCTGAAATGTACAACATATTAATATGGTCACCTTGTCAACTTCAAGATATCGTGGTCTTCTCTCCTCAGTAATGCTTATCTAAGAACGTAAATAAGAGGTCCTGTGAGGATCATTTTAATTAAAATTGTCATATTAATTCAAGGTAGATAGAGTTATAAGCTTAAATCTTTGATTTATAAAATTGTTTCACCCAATCAATTCTCTATGAAAGGGTAAACAACACGTTTACTCTTATGTCGTCCTCGTCTATACCTCCTCCTATCTCTCTTTTTCGGGGAAAAAAAACTCAAATCGTTTGATGCTGAAAGGGTTTCAAGTACCCTCCATATACAATTCATTCGCTTGGCGTATCTAGAAAATATAATTACAAAAATTAAAGGAAATTAATTTATGAAATTAAATGTAATATAATTAAATATTTAAAATAAATTGTGCAAACACTTATTTCGTCGTACTAATTAGCGTCGCTTTCATGTCTACTTGCGGATGCTAACAGTGCTTGATGCCATTTGTTCAAACTTGGCTGAAGATGTTTCTTCCATCTTGAAGAACAACTCTCGTGGTTTGTGGTATTCGGTGGAGCGGTGCCTTCGTAGAACTCTAAGTATTTTTTGGATACACGAATTCAAACACTTTCACTTGTTTGAGAACTCCCCCTCAAACTATCTTTTGACACCCATCTATAAGTCCTGCAAAGAGCTTCATCTTCTTTTCGGGTCCAAGCCTACCTTTCATTGCAAATGAGGCCAACTGAAAATTATTGAAAAAATTGAAGGAAATATTATTTGAAGAGTTAAGAAAATGTGAGAATTGAAATGGTGAAAATTTTGTGAGGAATGGTGTAGGAATGGCTTATGTATTTATCGGAAAAAATGAGAATTTTTTAGAAATTTCTAAAAATATTTTGGCCCAAAAAAAAAAAAAAAAATTCAAAAACTAACAATAACTGACGTCAACTAGCCATTGGGGTTTGAATGGGAGCTCGGCCCGAGGTTGGCTAGCTAACTGCTTTGGGCCGGCCGGTTGGCCTTTTGGCCCTTTTTTCTCCAGTGGGGCCCACGAACCCTTTGGCGTGGCCCTCGGTTGGAGATGATTTTTGGGCTATTTTTGGCCCTTTGAACCTTTCAGTTGGAGATGGCTTACGTGCAAAAGAGGAAGAATCTTTACAAGATGAGCGGCATGCCAAACAAGTGAAGACAAGAGAAGCCCTAAATTGGCTAATTTGTCAGCTACTGTATTCACTTCTCAAAATGTATGAAAGCAACAAAATACCCGCAATCGAAAAATACAATTTTTCCAACGTGTCTGGAAAAACCAAATTCATAATACTAATTACCTTGTTTAAAGAAAAATAAATCTAAAAACAATCCAAAGAATAGATCCACAAGGGAAAGTCGTGTGAAAATATTGAAATATAATTTTAATTCTTCGACAATAACGCCAAATCTGAGGCAATTTGCCTCTCCTTGTTCATAGGCCAAAAAAAAAAAATGACAGAGAGAGATAGAGATGGAGGTAGCAAGGGGATGCATAAAAGATGGTTAGGAGGATGACATGGACGAGTTTGTCTCCCCGGAGAAGACGACGTGGATTTGTGTTTGTGCTTTTTTTTTTCATTCAGTTTGCTAATCAGAGATTTGTTTAGTTGGAGTGAATTTGGATGACGTATGATAGGAAGTATTATAGCTCCACTAAACCGAAATTAATCATTGCACCCATTTTTTGGATTGGCACCCATCAAAACACCTGAAATAGGTTTCCAAGCACTTGTTCACCACTTCGGTTTGTCCATCACTTTAGGGTGATGAACTAAGCTCATGCACAGTTTTGAAACTTGTAGCTTGAAGAACTCTTTCCAAAAGGTACTAACAAAGATGGGGACCCTATCACTCATAATGGTGGATGATTGACTTTCCGTACATAGAGGCAATCAAAAAATAAAGTCCATACTTATCTATGTTCATACTTGTTCAGGAATAGGAAGTAGTTTTAGCAATCCAGGAAAGGCTATAGTCTCATATTTGTTTGACTGACACACATTGCATTCAACCACAAAGTTCTTTATATTAGCCTGCATGCTAAACCAATAAAATCATCTCTTGATTCTCTAAAAAGTCTTCAACACTATGTGGTGACCTGTTACTCGAGTTAAGTGGTGATATTCCATTACCAGTGGAGTTGGTATCATCTTCTTGAGTTTTCTGTAATCTTCATGCCTAACGTGTGTAGACATGTAAATTTCGTTACATGCAAATGATGCATCACAAAGCTCCACGTGGCATATGACTCATCACAAATGGGCAAGTCATCAATCACATGTGGCACAAATCAAGCAAAGGAAGAATAAAACTTCCCCAAAATTCGGCGAAGGAGGGGGGAATCTCTCCTTAAAATCGGCAAGGGGTCAAAATTGCTCCCAAAACCGGAAAGAAAGCTAAAGCATCTTCATAAAACAAGCAAGAATTGAAGATTGCTCACAAAATAGGCAACAAGCCCTATAGATTTCAGCCAAGCAAGAGAAAGTGGCTGAAATTAAGACACAAAACATGCCTAAATTTTCCCATGGATGAATTAAGACACAAATCAAAGCCAAATCCATCCAAAGGCAAGCTTTGAGAATTCTATAAATACAAGGTCCTAAGACAACAATGGGGTTGACAATTTCTACATTAAAGGGCCGAAATTCTCACAAAAGGAGAACATCTGTCAAATCTTTGAAGACTAATACGCTACCAAAGCCCTCCTCGAAGAACGCACAACCAAAGCCCAAACTTTTTTTCGACCAAAGCCGAAGCACACCCTTACAGAATCAACAAGCACTTGTGCCGATTCTTTCAAGATGTTGTTGCAAGCTTAAAACTTGTAACAGTGTTCGATTCAAGATCAAGTTTTTAAGACTCTTGAATCAATGAAATCCTACATCAACGCTACCTTTGCCGCAACCCAAAACCTAAAGTAAAGATCATCCACGCATTGTTTTAAGCTCAAAACTTGAAGCAATTGTTCAATCGTTCTTTCAAGATCAAGTCATCGCAAACCTTAGATCAACAACCTATGTATCTACATCAAATTTGAAGATTGAATCAGAGGAAAGTTGTAAACAAAGATTGTAACCCTACAAATTCATTAATACAAATCTACTTTGTACACGTGTTCTCGTTTCATTTGATACAGAATTTTCGTATTTACAAATTTGGCATACCCGGTAAGACCTCTCAGCCTCTCATCTCTGTCTTCAAATTTGCAAGAAGTGCAAATGGCATCAAGAAAGGATCAAGTTGTTCCCGCAATCAACGCGAAGAATAAGAACATCCTTGCTGCAAATGGTGGCACTTTGGGTGTCACAACCCGAAGTAAGGCAAGAGCTCTCTTTGCCGTGCCTTCCACCTCTACATCAAACCTGCCAAATGAGCAAGAGCACCCGAGTCACGAGTCTACGATCACCTTAGCCTCGCTAAGGGGGCCAAAGGAAGAACCGAGTCTTTGACCTCCGATGCCGACTCAAGCAGCAGCTCATATCCTGTAGCCATGCAATTCATGACTACTAGTGTGACATTAATCGAGGAACAGTTAGCTCAAATGAATGAAGCAATTGCAAGGTTGACAAGGATCGTGGAGGAAAAGGACTTGCAAATTGCCACATTCATCAACCGTTTGGAGGCACATCATGACAAGAAAGCTGACCACAACCTGAAAGTTGATTAACCAAAGAAGGAAACCGAAGAGGAAGAAGAGCCGCTACTGGAGAAAGCCAAGGAAAAGCTCAAGGTAGACTGAGCTACAACACTCATGAGATTTATCTCTATCTAATAGCTGCAAAATATGATCACCAGCATGATCAAGGCACAATACGAATGAAGCTCACATAACTCCATGTTGTACTTAAAGCTATGCTCTAAGAAGATTAACGCCTTGAGGATGCTAATGGGTTATCAGCCACCAAAATTCATGCAGTTCGATGGAAAGGGCAATCCTAAACAATATATTGCCCATTTTATCGAAACTTGCAACAATGTTGGGACAGAGGGAGACTACCTTGTCAAGCAATTCATGCGCTCGCTAAAAGGTAACGTCTATGATTGGTACACCGATCTTGAGCCCACGTCTATCAATAGTTAGGACTAGCTTGAAAATGAATTCCTCAACAATTTTTACAACACTTGCCGTACCTTAAGCATGCTAAGTTGATAAGTACAAAACAGTG